GTGTTGAGTAGCTTGGTGCGCCCGGCGCAGTTGTAGACGGCAAAAGTAAAAGAACCGCGCGGCGAGTTTGCCGGCAACGATAAATTACAGTAAACTGCCCGCGGATGTGGTAGCCCGCCGCATCTGTGATGTTCCGGAGCGTGATGGCTCTGATGTGTTGAAGCTGGTGCTGTGATAGCTGTTGTGATGGCGTGATAGCCTAGAGGCGTGACAGCCTGGCAGCGTGATAGCCGGTGGATATGTGTGGACACGGGCGTGATAGCCCAGAGCGTGATAGCCGGGAAAAAGAAGATGAAATTTATCCAAGTGCACGTGGTCAACACCGTTGCAGACACGTATACCCAGGAAACAACAATATGTGGCAAAGATGGTACCACCATTCCCCCAATATACCACAACTGCGGAACCCCAAAAGTTCCCCGCTCCATCTTCTCGGAACGTTCCTCGGTTGCAATAATCTGGCAATGCTGTGAGTACATCCAACACTCCTGATCCTCCTCCTGATCCTGGGAACAGCCGCCGTTTGCCACCCGAATGGTTTTGGTGGGGTATGAGCCAGCCTCACCCCGCAGTTCCCGACGAAGCTGCGAGTCCGTTTTGAAAAAAACCGATCGAGATCGCACGAGAAACGTCTCCGAATCTTGTGAGAACGACGTCACCGTGTTGACTGTGTGTAAATAATCCGAATATGTGAAGGTCGGGTTGCAGTGGATGCTCCACCTTGCCCCTCTTCATTTTGTCTCGTACTACGTGGTTTAGAACGAGCGAAGTGTTACTTTGGGGCATCCTATTTGTTCTGGACGCCAGTTCTTACCCCCTTCGGTATGTCTACCCCCTTCGGCATGTTTGAACGCGCCAGCCGGGTACGTAAACAAGATTTTGGTTTGTTTTTCCTCGTTCTGTGGCGCATGCCTTCATTTTAATCCCTACGAGCATCCAACCATCCCCTCCACTCGTCGACAGTCAAGTCGAATATATCGTATCCGCGCATCAATGAATTCCCCTTTGTGTGGTTCGACGTTTGAATAAATCCTAAGAATCCTGTTTCGTGTGACTGCACCGGACGTTCGAAATCACGTCCAATCGTCAAAGGTGGCGTAGTTACCGACTGAACCACCGGAGAGACCGGCTTCGAATTCAACCCTCTCCTACAAACACCGTAGCCGCTCTTGCTATACCAAGTCAGGGGGCAACCTGTTTCCAGCTGTGCTCTCGCGCTCAAAGGCCACGCATGATTTATTTTGCCGGAAATACACATCTTCGAATACACAATGGAAGGCGTGCAAAGCACATCACATATGTACTAACCTGCACCCAACTCTCGGACGCTTGTGCCCTGTCCACGTTTTCTCCACCTCGCGTTTCATCAACTCTATGGAGCGGTTCGATGTTGTGTGTTCCGCGTAGGCTCAAGCCAATATTTGGACGCCGCCACTGTCGTCCTCAACTAGGCTTGTGACGGGAAAAGATGGTGCATCTCGACGGCGAACCTCCACCTCGAGTGTCGATGCAGTTCTCCTCGGTGTGTTGAAATGTGTCAATGACGCACCCAACAGTAGTGGAGCAATGCGTACCTCCACGCCTGTTGTACGATGCCGCCAAGCAGGAGACTGGCAGCGGCAATAAGAGTCCCAATTGGACGCGATGCGTGTTGTTCGACCCAATAATGTTACATGCGAGCTGGCCAGCTTCTTCGCTGATGCTGCTCAGGGTCGATGTGCCTTCAAGCGTGGGGTGCTTGGTGTTCTGCGGCCGGTTCGATTATGAGGTAGACCAGGCGATATGGCCATCTAGACCGAAGGCACCAAGTTTCGGTGAGGAATTCAACAGGCCCATCCACGACACTTCGTGGCCAGCGTCGTTGCAGCAGCTGAGCTTTAGGGCAGACTTCAATCAAAAAATCAACGGGTCATTTTTATTTTCCCGCCATCGCTGATTTGAACAGAGCATCTTCGGGAAGCGCTTCAACGAACTGAACTGCAAAGTCTTGTGGCCGGCGTGAATACAGCGCATCACTTTTTAGAGAGGAATTCAACCAGCCCATCCACGAGCTTTGGTGGCCAGAGTCGCTCGAATATCTTACGTTCGAAGGTGCATTCGACCAGTCGATCAACGAGGTCGCGTGGCCAGCATCGCTTCACCACCTGGCCTTCGGGGGCGATGAAGTCGTTTCTTGGATGTGTGGATTCAATCAACAGTTACGCCGTGATTCGTGGCCAGCGTCGTTTCAGCATCTCACGTCCGGGGTGACCTTCCATCAGCCTGTCACACGCCTTTTATGCCAGATTCACTGCAGGAGCTGACACTTTAGGGTGAATTCGACCACCAGATCGACGACGTCGTGTATACAGTAACGCTGAAGCATCTGACCTTGGGAGGGAACGAAGTCTTTTGACCGACAAGGTCGCGTGGCCAGCTTCACTGAAGCAGCTGGCCTTTGGAGGGAACGAACTCTTTTGTTTCACGAGCGGATTCAATCAACAGGTACACAGTATTTCGTGGCCGGTGTTCCTACATCATGTCACGTTTGGGGCGGAATTCAACCACCCAGCGTAGCTACAACATCCGTTTGGGGCGTCCTTCAATCATCCTGTCAACGAGGTTGATTGGCCAGAATTCGACCAGCGGATATGCGAGGTCGTGTAACCAGCATCACTTCACCACCTGGCATTCAAGGGTACGTTCAGCCAGCGGATAGACCACATCGTTGGCCAGCGTCGCTTTATCGTCTGTGCTATGGATACAGTTTCAAGCAGCCCAACGCGGACGCCGCTTGGCCAGCCTCACCGCAGGAACTAGTTTTCACAGGGGTTTTCATGCAGGATGTGGATGGCATCGAACGGCTGGATGTCATTGACTAGCCGGTCTCACTGCAGCGGGTAACGATGGCTGAGCAAATCCTATTCGTTCGGTATAGATATGCCCTCCAATAAGTTTTGGCCATGTGGACGACGACAACGGCAAGAGCGCAATAGGTGTCATGAAACCGAAAAAGACGGTCGAGTGGCACCGACGCGTTCTGTTCGTTTTGCGCTGGCGTGGGCTCGTTTGGCACGGGATCACGAAAACGGCACATGAGTTTCCGGGCCGGGGAGTTCTTGCTGCTTGAACTGGTTTGAGCCGAGTGGGTCATCCAGTTCCCCTCGAAGGAGGCGTATTTCCTTGGGTGTTACTGGGTGGGCTCCCGGGGAGGAGATCGCCGCAATACAACCCCAAGAGCCCAAATGTTATGTGTGATGACAATTGTGCGGCCCAGGTCAGCCTGGAAGTAGTGTACAGCAAGCGGAGGTTTATTACCTACTGCAGTCGAGCTGGTGGTGGCGAGTCACCCCAAAATATATGCGCCAGAGTCCTCAGCTGCACGCCATTTCAAGATATGTTGGTGCGAGAGAGAGCCGTCGGGTATGAAGCAAAACCAAACACCGCCAAAAATAGGGTAGTTTCCAAGCGATTACGGCCAACCAACGGGAGGCATGACTGCCCTAGCATCTACCATCGGTCCCGCCTAGCTCGGCAAAGTTTTGACCCAAGATGGTGTATCTTGTGTGCTGCAAATCGCCCCATAAAGTAAGTAACACTCGTTGTACTGCACCTCTATTCGCCTAAACGTTTGGACTACCGTTGTAGTCTGAAGCAATTCTTTTTCGCATTTTACAACCTGCCAGATCGGACGGGTGTATTGTCTTCATTGGTTCCGCCAAGCGAACGACATGATGTCTGTCTGCCAGCGTATGCCCTCCCCAAAGGATTCTTGTTCGTAGCATGTGTCACCGATTCCACACCTGCGGTCAGATTTCGACAAAATTGCGTGCGTTTGCATGCGGAGACGGGAACGTGACACGGCAGAGGCTAAATCTGGTCAACCAGCCTAAAAATCAAGCAATAAACAAGCCTACTGACCAGGAATATCGCCACGTGCCGCCAGTGTTGCAAGACCTGTGAATAAATCTTTACGCTTGGGAGCCCCAACGTACAGACTCCAAGCTCTCTGCCTTTCAGGGATATTTATCGCGCGCAACACATCATTGGCAGGTGGTACATTCTCACACATGCGTGACCCGGCTAATGGTCTCCTTCCCTATGAAGCGCAAATACGGAGAGTCGCATGTAGGGGCCGAGACAGAGATCATATCAGCGCGGGGTTCAAGTAGGACTAAATAACCCACCAATAGCAAAGGTTCGTCGTACGCGATCGGCTTGAAGTCGTAAAATAGCGGCACCATCACCGGAGGGTCTACTCCGCGGGGCGCCCCCTTGATGCCGTAGCCTTTCAGGGTCTGCATCTCGTCTTTGAGCTCGTTGGCTTCCGTGAAGGCCTCCTTGCAGACGATGAGGTCAGCTACCCGCCCGTGATGCTCCAGCAGCAGGTTCTAAAGCATGTGCATTGGAACGTCCACATAACAACTTGGAAAGTGGCATGTGTGTGTTCGGGGGAGCGACACAGTGGAGAAAAACCGGGTGGGCAATTTCCAACCGTCGCACCTCTCCTGTGTCAGTCGGCAAGCGAACGGTTTCCCAAGAGATGGTGATGACGGTTCAAAATTCACGGGAAGCAGTTTAAGCCCTCTGTTGCGGCAAACGCGCTCACCTTGATCGTGAAGATGTGTGTTGTTGTTCTTACCCGATGCTTGAAATCCAAAAATTTCCAATTGAGAAGCTGATGATGATTGGACGATGTAGGCATCCGAAAAAACGAAAAGAAACACGGGGGAGGTAGCGGGTCAAGGTCTTTCTATTTTGGGTGTTATGGCGGCTGCCATGTGGCTTATCTCATCGTACAGCGTGGTACCATGTACAGAATACGCTTTTTGTAGATAACGCCGGGTTTTTCTTCGCCGGGGAAAATTTCCCACCCAGGGAGGGACTACAGTGCATAGTCTCTGCTTTCTTCACCTTTAAGTCCAACGTAACCCACTCTTCATCGCTAGGCATCGCCAAGGCAGGCTCGGCTGGTAGCGGACCGTCGACATTGTCCACCTTTTTGCAGGGAATGGCACATCGACGTGTATTGGAAGGTACTGGGGGTGAGACCCCATTTTCTTGGCACCTAGATGGTGAACAACAGTCAGCCACGGTTCCGAACAGGCCACCACTTGGATAGTCGACAAGAAAGCAGAAGTTTTGCCATCCTAGGAATCCCGTCTTCTTGGTGCAACTGGCAAGATGCTGTTAGAGCTTTCCACTGAAAGGTGGATTCGTCATTGTTTGCGCTGCCGAGCCCGCAAACACCTCGGGGAACGGGCGCGACAGCCATTTCAAGCTCGCCGTGGCCTTCCAAACCTGGCGTGTCCGTGGGCGTCGATTGTTTCGCCCCCCTACCGACCACTCCTCGGCGTACATGTACTTTCTTACACTTTGCATTTCACCGATTGTTGTTGATGTTCTGATACGCACGCCATCACCGTCGCTGAGTTTACTGCCGAAGGCGCTGCCGAGGTTTTATTGCGTCGGTGTTATCCCCTTGTGATTTTGCTGACCTCCGCGTCTGTCTGTGGTCGGACAATGGCACGCAAATATTCTCGAACCTATCGCGAAGACTGTCCACAAGCGTCTCGCTGTGCGCAAAGTTGCTACAGTACCAGCTCAAATCACCCCACGGGCAATGGGATGTCAACTACAGCAGAATGGTACATGCTTACCATGGTCCATCTCCCTCATGTTTGTGTGTTGATGTCTTCACAAAATAAATCGCCGGTCTCTGGTACATGCTTACCATGGTCCATCTCCCTCATGTTTGTGTGTTGATGTCTTCACAAAATAAATCGCCGGTCTCTGGTACATGCTTACCATGGTCCATCTCCCTCATGTTTGTGTGTTGATGTCTTCACAAAATAAATCGCCGGTCTCTGGTACATGCTTACCATGGTCCATCTCCCTCATGTTTGTGTGTTGATGTCTTCACAAAATAAATCGCCGGTCTCTGGTACATGCTTACCATGGTCCATCTCCCTCATGTTTGTGTGTTGATGTCTTCACAAAATAAATCGCCGGTCTCTGGTACATGCTTACCATGGTCCATCTCCCTCATGTTTGTGTGTTGATGTCTTAACAAAATACATCGCCGGTCTATGGCCAGTACCTTCAAACGTCCATACCGGTCCAACTGACGCGAATGCCTTCTGCAGTCACAGGCCGACTACACACAAAAGTGAACAAAAGAAAATGAGCAGGCAGACTCGATACATGACGGAGTATGATAACAACTCTATTAGCGCTGCAACAGATTTAGCACCTAATGTTGCATATTAGCCACTATAAACTACCAATGTACTACCATCGAGCACATCCTGAAGCTAGAGGCCATCAAAGCTTGGATCGTGACACCTTGAGTTGGCGGTCTGCTGCTGCAGTAGTTGCCAACGATGTGCTTATAAGTTGGTGCGGAGAACGGCTCTCTCGGATACTTTGTGCAAGTTCCCGATGTACACCGTCGGCTAATGGGGTTCAAGGGTATATCTCTACGTCCACAGTTCACCAAGGTGTTCGATCGGGTCTGACAACAAGCTTGATCAACGCGAAGTTATCATTGCTTCTGGTCAGTCCAAATAAACTTTTGCTGTTGATTGTTCGAACGCCTCTCCTTTGGCGACTGCACGTGAACTCCTACCTGTTGGCCTCACCAACACGTTTTCGACAATCCCACGCGTTTTCGACAACCCAGGACGTTTTCGACAACCTCCAGGCCAAATTTCCTTCGTACCGTATTATGGAAGCCGGCGTATCGACTCGGGTCGAACGTCTTGAGTTTGAAAAAATTGTTGGTCATCAGTCTGTTCGTGCCTGTGATGGTTTTATCGCAGTTCTCTACGAGACACACTTGAACTAACTGTCTTCTCCGCCCTTCTTGGAAACGTGAGATGAAGTATCACATGGTCCGTTCATTGTCGATTTCTGGCTTTGACGTTGTCTTTTCCTGGGGTTTCCCGTGTATCTTCATACACGAACCTTAGGGTGGGCTGAACGTCATGACATTTGAGCACAAGGATCTGCACGGTGGTGCTAGGGAATAATGGGCTATAGGCGGTAGCTGCAACTCCGTGGACACACTTGTCAGGGGAAGGATTTCAAAGGTCCCTCCCTGCAGGAAGCGTCGCCCCTTTGTTCGGTCTACTAAAGAGAGCAAGGCAACCGAAAGCACCGACCGCCGTTCTAAGAGATGTGCATCGAAGTGAGTCTTGCACCAAGGTCCTATGGGAATGCTACGCGTGTAACATTCGCCGCATCTGTTCTAATGGCCAAGTTCTCAAGTTTGTCTTAGTTTGAGGCTGGATTTCTTAACTCCCATGTTTTACCTGGCGGCACGTCCTACTCAACTATCGGAACTCGCGCTCACCACCACTCCCTTATCGTACTGTAGACTGCTGTAGTAGTTATTTCGTTTCTCTCGCTCCAGTCCACCATCTTGCGGAGGAATATAGGGGGAAACGGAGGCGGGCTTCGGCTGAGGCCGAGGGAAACGCCAGGCTATTATCGTGCTACAGCAGTATGCACGTTGTTGGGTGGCAGTTAGCCTGTGACCCCGGAAGGCATAGACTACGCGTCAGTTGGGACCTATTGTTGTTGTTGTTGTTGTCTTCACATGAAAAACCATCCCGGTCTCTCTATCCAGTACCTCCTTCTGTCTCAATCTCTCCGTACTAATCCATCACTTGACTCGGCCAATTTCCGTGGTCACAGGCTAACGTACCTAGAAAAGGTATACCAAAATAAAATGGACCCCAAGGGTCAGCAGAGCGATAAAAT